AGAACATAAATATGTACGTAGGGACAAATATTTGTTATTGTTTAATTTCCTTCCCGACTCAACGAAGGAACTACAATCAAAAGAAATAAATAAAAACATATAATCAGCTTAAACAATTTTCAAGGCGTCCTCAGTAACCTTTTCCTTTGTCAAAGTAGCACTGGCTATTAAAATTCTCCTAGACAGTAGACACTAAACGTGATGGAGGATACGCATTGTGTCAATCGATGTGGTCTTGAGAGATGCCGTGGTCCACTTGCATTGCTTATATAAAAGTACTGTACTCTAAATAATGTGAAGAGTAAATAGGACTCGTGTTCTTCACAACCATTGTTTGTTTGCGTTGGTTCACTTAATAATCTTCTCGTAATTTTTAACAATCTATCTACAATTCTCGTTTTGTGGGCTATCTTGTTAAAATACTGTTTGTAAACGTAACGGGATTTCGACACAGTAACTATTAATTCGGAGGAAGGAGCTTTTAATCCTGAAAAAGAATCAAATCAAATCAAATCAAATCAAATTATCCTTTATTCATTTAGTATACAATATACATAAATAGCGTCAATACAATAATCGTGATAAAACAAATATCTTAAAACTAATGTACAAGAGTCAGTGGAAAAAATATTTTACCTTATAACAGCATTTACTACATAAAAACTTAAATAACTGTTTCTTAAACGACTTAAGGGAAGCTACAGATTTAATCGAATCAGGCAGGTTATTGTAAAACTTAACACCAGAGTAGTGGGGAGAAGATTCTAAAGTTGAGGATTTATGTTTAGGGTATAAAAGGCAGCTTTTGTGTCGGGTATTATAATTATGATTGTCCGAATTAACAGAAAATTTAGAAATATTTTGTTTCATAAAAATTAATAAATTGTAGATATACAGACTGGGAAAAGTAAGGATATTATTGTTTTTAAATGTATTTTTACAAGAACCCCCAGCTTTGATAGAATAAATTGTTCTAATTATTCTTTTTTGCAATTAAAAAACTTTTTTATTTTTGTCGGAATTTCCCCAAAAAATAATTCCGTAATTGAGAATAGGATAAACATAGCCATAGTATACCATCATAAGAGTAGAAATATCAACTGATCTAGAAAGAATGAGAGTTACAAAATATGCTTTATTTAACTTTTTGATGACGTCTGTTATGTGAGTTTTCCAGGTTAATTTATGATCTGCTGTTATTCCTAAAAATTTGGTGGCGTTGGCAAGGTTGCAAGATAGAGTGGTGTTTTCGTGAGAAAAATTGTTATTAAAATAATTTTTTTTAAAGTTCATTAAAAGAGACTTGGATTGATTTAGTAAAAGTCCATTAGCTTGAAACCAACTTTCCAGCTTTTGGAATTCTTGTTTGATAAGCTGTGGAAACATTGATTTATCTGGATGGGTGAAGATAGCAGAAGTATCGTCAGCAAACATAACCAATTTAGAATTTAAGGTCATGGGCAAGTCATTGACATAAACCAGGAAGAGTAAGGGTCCAAGAATGGACCCTTGAGGTACACCATCTGTGATTAATCTATAATCAGATTTAATTCCCAGTGACTGCAAATTTATACACTGTTTTCTGTTGGATAGAAATGAAACCAACCATTTACTGGTCCTGCCCGATATACCATAAAATTGCAACTTCCGAATCAGTATATTATGGTTTACACAGTCGAACGCTCTTCCAGTTTGATGTTGGGGAATGTTTTGTGAAGAATCAGAAACCCCCCCCCATAAACCCCCGTTCCCATAGTCAACTTATGGTGGTTCGCGAACTCTTTCGAATAAACGTAGGTTTACACGTTTGCACCAGATTTTATCAAAATCGGATCATTTTTTATCGAGTTATCGCGCTAAAGGTGCATTGTCACAATAGTTCTATGATTGTCACTGGTGCGGCTGTAACTTTGGACACTGGAGCGCCTGCTAGCATTGTTTTCAATGGCACCGTTGTCACTGACGCGTCTGTAGCCGCAGTCGTCTCGTCTCGGGGAAAGGGGAAAGGGTTGATGATTTACGACTGCGATAGACAAGTCGACAAGTGTATGAATACAAAACCTAATAAGGTTTGTTGTATTCATTGACAGTAAACCTAACTAAAAGTAAAAACACCAAGTTGTAAATTTAACGAACTACTTTTTTGTTTTACCACATTATGGATTTTAATATACTAGTGGCATGTAATGACATTTGTCCCTACAAAGCTTAAATTGTAAAACAACTACGAATCAAATTATTTATTTGTCAAGATGGATATGCCTGTACACCATATATTTATGTAAAAGGTATCTCTGTTTGCTTTTTACACATTGACTGTTTACAATTAACATAAACCCGGCAACAAGGCTTAAAATTAAACAACACGCGTGCGTGGTGTAGGTGTACTCAGTAGTGTCGGGTAGGTCAGTGTACACTTATTGATTTTTCGGCGAGCAGCAGAGACAGAAGCAGAGGCACTATCACAGCGTAGTAAGGTCATTACCCCTCCTCATCCCCTGTCTCTCCTCTGCCCCCGTACCCCGCGTGGTGTGCAGTGCTAGCAGCGCTCCTAGATGGTGGCGGACAAACTACGCTGTCTTAGCGCAGCACGTTGCCGCCATCAGCCAGATATCTGTAGTAGGGGTTATATTATCTGTGCCTAGATGCAGTACGACCATAGATTAAATATAACCCAAGTCGACTTCTTAATTCAAATTTTTTTAATGTCTAGTTCATGTTGGTGACACTGGACGTTAGTTTTGACGTAATTTTGTTTCCATTGTTTTAGGGTTAGTTCTATGATGTGTGTTTCAATTTCTTTTAATATAACCAGGAGACGACCTATTGTTGATGATTAGATCGTTTTATTTTAGATAAACTAGGTTTAAACCACGATTACTAGAAAAATACCGCTATGGATCATAAACATAAACAAATGACGTTGTTGGCCCGAATCCTATACTAATAGCATTGAACATATGTTTTGGCAGTTCCATTTAAGCAATGTTAAATCATGTTTTTTTCGGGCCAAAATTGTCATTTGTTTATGTTTATGATCCATACAGGTATTTTTCTAGTAATCGTGGTTTAAACATAGATCAAACATACTAGGTACTATTAAATAACAAGAATTGTTTTCAGCTAATCCAAAATGATGACAAATCTACTAAAGGAGTATGTTTAATCTAGGGTATCACGTACTGTTTGGAGATCATGTTTTTTGGCCTGGAATTGGAATCAATGGCCATGTTTTTTTTTTCAGGAATGCTCGGTGGGTTGAGTTGTTTTGTTTCAGTCCCACAAGCGTGAGCATTTGCCAAAAGCATAAAATTGACAAACAGTGTGTCCACAGCTTGTACAATTGTACAAGATCTAGTACATTTTGATATTTTCTTGTACCCTAGTACATTGTTCACTGAATCTTGTACATTTTCCTTCAAAATCTGTTTTTATAAAAATTGAAAAATACACGCAGTTTGGGGGATTTTTAAGTTAATAAATAACAGTTAGCAACTCCGGATTTTCATATCTTGGTTGAATTGTAAAGACCACATGCCATAACTTACTCTATGTAATTTTATAACAATAAATTACCGGCTATAATAAAATACATAGATAAGCAAATGTACTGCCTTAATGGATTTCTCATTCTTATGGAACAGCTGAAGCCAATTTTATTGTTATTTCTGCCGCGGTGAACTGTAGAGGTGATGTTTTGTTTATAATTTGTTTCTTGTTATTTCAGTTAGTTTCTTTTAAAACTTCGTTCAGCCATTAGCCAAATAAAACGATCTTATCATAAACAATAGCTTGTCCCGTAGTTATGTCAAACAGTATAGCGCAAATAATGAAATCAATCCTAAAATAATAGAAAAAAAATTTCGTCGATACTAGCGGTCAGTGTCACCGGACATGAACTAGACACGAAAAACGAGCCTCAAAATTTACAATGGGATGAGAAGTCTACTTGTGTTATGAAAAAAGTCAGAATTCTGCATTAAAGTTTAGTAGGCATTCACTTCTGAGATTAAAGTCAAATTTAACAAGAGGGCGTTCCTCTTTATCAAATAATTAGAACAATGAGTTTTATGTTATTAAGTGTGAAGGTGAGAGGAGACCTGATTAATTTAATGGTTTTATTTCTATGGGGGAGCGTCAAGGTGCCACCACAAGGATAAAAACGTCAAAGAACTTTGGTTAGTCTCTATGGTATAACACAGAGAGCCATATAAAGTAGCATTACTCTATCTTTTGTAAGATCTTGTACCTACATTAGGAAATCTTGTACATTTTTCAGGGAAATTTAGTACAAAAAAGTGGTACCCCTGTGGACACACTGTTGACAAAAGTGTTTAAGACGGCATTTTGTTAAGGCTATAAACAAGTCAATTCTTAAAAAAAACTTGCAATGATTCCAACGAGGAGTGGTATTTAAGCAATAAACTTAGGTCAATGGGCATGATATAGTTTTTAATAAAGGTTTGAAGGAAAGTAACTGTGACCAGACTAGGGGGCGGAAAATTATTTGGGCCTAGGGGCGCAAAAATGCTAAATCCGGCCCTGAGTATATCAAGGCCTTGGGGTCGTGATGGTACCTAGAGCTGACATCGTGGACTTGTTGCAGTCCTTTGGCCATCATCAGAGCACTCAACTATAGTGGTAGTGGTAGTAGAGAGAGAGAATAGTGATAGAGTAGTAGTAGAGTAGAGTTTAAGTGCTCTGTTGCTTCTCTGAAAATGGCCCTCTGCAACGAGTCCAAAACATCACCTCAGATTATCTGTAATTTTTAACACAGTTCACCTCACCTCCCCCTACCCCGAAGTCTAAAAAATATTGTAGGCCTGGTTAGTTGTGACTGTAGAATCCTTTATTCGATACAAAATAAGCCTAAAGAGATAAATTTATACATGTATTGGCAACGTTATTGATGTTAATTGCCAAAAATTGTCCGATGCATTGTACACAGCTAAACACAATGGAGTATGATTTAAGATGAATATATAGGCTACCTAACTCACCCCATACTCTGGTTTAAAGAAGCCTTCCTTCTCCCACCAGCTGTACCATGCTGCTTCTACATATTGTGGACTATAGGCATCAGGCATGGGTCCTGAAACATCCTTCTTTGTTCCTGGAGGAGTATCAACATTGTAGGAAATTGTTTCTTTCTTAGGTTCTTTCTTCTTTTCTTTTTTCTGTAATGTAAAACATAGGCTAGAATATACAATCTTTACTTTTAGTTTTAAGTTAACACCTTGAAGATGTCTACCTAGTGGTAGATGTAATAGGTCTACCGTTTAAAAGTTATCACAATACCTTAACGTGATTTTAAGTTACCCTAAAGTGGTGTCTAGATTTTGATCACAGTGTTGGTGTCTTCGGTCCATAAGACCGAAACGGTTATGTTTCGTTTGTAATAACGGTAATGTCTGTGTGAAACATTTTCCCGAAGATGACTTTAGTTTTGTGGAAAAGTACAAGAATAAAGACAATGGTTGGTGTAATATAGACGCAAGAGGCCAGTTTTAGGTGAGAATGCCATACCGGTACAGACTTTTTCCCAATTTACCTTTGTATATTGATACACAAAAAACGACAAAGAGAAAGACTCCTGAAGAAAGAAGACAAAAGGAAGGCAAAAGTATAAAGAAGAGTCAACAGGATGAAGAAATTTGACTAGCAAAAGAAAACAAAGTCGGGGACTTAACTTCATTTTGCAAGAATTAAGGCTGTATTTTAGCACATATAATTAATAAATAAATAATAATAATAATTTGACACGTATTATTAGCGTCATTTTGCACATTAGCCTATAACGAATGTGGAAAGCCATGAAGGCCTGGCTTCTGATATCGTTTCCACAATGGCAAACGCATTGCTACCTATTTCACAGAAAATAAATTATTCAGTCAGTAGGCCTTCAAACGAGAAATGAAAACTTAAAATTTTGCCGTAGCTACGTTATCTAGACTTATGGTTTGTCAGGTAGGCTAAAACAAAAATATGAATATTTAAAGTTTGAAAATAATATTATTTGGATATTTTTTAAATTTACTCTTTCATTTGTAATTGGAAGTTTTATGAAACATTTTCACATTCATTGCAATTATTACAATACGACAATAAACAGGCTTACAAGCAAACAAACATTAGGCCTATTTTAATACAAAAATCACTGTTATATGCCATTTACATATATTTCTTTCATTTTACAGAGCAGTGAAAACAGCTAAACTCTCATATAAGTTGTAGCCTAGCGCGTGTGAAGGCGGACCCAGAAGGGGCGTGATTGCGGCGTTGCCAGTTAGAACGTTGCGGCCTTGTATTAAAGGTGGCTGTGAATAAATACTAATATAGGCCTAGCCTATAGTGGTTTCAAAATGGAGTAAGGTGATCTGTTTTTATAGTAGGTATTTTTTCTTACTTGAATATTTAAAATTGAAATGGCCACCATATGAAGGTAGGTATTTTAAGCCAAGTAAGTTAAGGAGATGAGTGTAGAATGAGTGGCACTATCCTGTAGTCTTGTTTCTGAATAAGGCCATGTTTCTTGGACTTTGGACAGGACTGTTTTAAATAATAGCCACTTCCAGCTGTGTGTTATAGCCCTGCCATATTAAAATCCCAATTAAGTTAATCAAGGAGCTTAGAAATTAGGCCTAGGCCTACTATCATCGACAAATACTTTGGGTTTAAAATATACAAGACTGAGGTATGAAGTACCGTAGGCTAACTACAGGTTTCGTTTAAGTTGTTGGGGCATAGGCTAGGCCAAGAGTAGGTCTAAGTTATTGAAAAATTAATTTGAGATGGTGGATTTTGCCTAATCGCTTTAGTTAAAATATTTATATTCACCATTTTATCAACAATCAACAGTAATAATATGAGGATAAGTTTTTAATGCAAACGTTGTATACCTACTATGAAGCATGGCACTACAAGGACTAGGCCCTATTCCTACCTCAGCTTTTTCCTTGGGCTGGTCACCTTTCTGCTGATTGGTTTCTTGTTTTTGTTTAAACTTTTCAAGTTTTGCTAATCTTTTTGCCTCTTTTTCCAACTGCTTAGGGGTTTTCTGAGGCAATTCGCCGTTTTCCGCAGATTGCATCATGTTAAACACAAGTAACTTTTTAGGTTAGTGACAAAATTGCTCCTCAACAATTTCTGTAATCTGTCGACTACACAACGTGTCACCTCCACCTGTCCTGTCACGAAACTGAAACTGTCATATGTTTCATTGTTTCTAATATTTTACTTTTACAGACCAGAGGAAGAACACTGAAATGATCAAATATATATATAAATCATATACTATCAATTTTACACTACCACATTGGCCTTGAAATATGATTTTATTTTAAACCACTTCCTAGGGACAATAGATAATTTATTAATCGTTCAGTAATTACAAAATTACAGTAATTACAATAGATTTCGTCAAACAGAATATATAAAATAAAGGCTAATTTTTAAAATCTAGATCCTTGATCCTTGTTTATGAATTTAACATCAAATTCATTTCTTATCAGTGACCCTTTGCATGTCTCTATATGCATCTACATCTCCAAATTAGTTCGTTTCAGATACAAAGTACAGTACTATCTTATGTACCTAGGCCAAGCTGTCCTTTGTCACTCGCTGGGTTTTATATGATCCTGGCTTACACTGATCCAACAGAACAGATCCAACGCAACAAAGCGGTTGACTCATTGTTCATTCAATAATCTTCGCCTTAAGAATGCATGAAATAGTCTTAAATACGTGAATCGGTGTCATAAAATCTAATCCGACAAAATTTAGTTCTTTAATCATTCTAATCTCTTAAATTCCAACGAACATGAGAATAAACCATTTCAAGACGTTGGAGTTTAATATTTAATCACTACCGGTAGTTACTAAACCAACGCCAAGCTACCATTGACCTTTTCAAAGAATGAAATGATTCTTGTTAAATAAATACGGCCAATTTATAACGGGAGGCTTTGTTTTACTTTCATAATCGATGGTTAAGAAAATTGCATGACACAGTACGGCACAGTAACAGCGTAACATTTTGCCAACCCAGCAAAAAGGAAATCCCAACCCCAACAGTGACAAGTGACAGCTGCAGCTGACATTGGGTTTTTACTTCACACTTTATTTACTTTTTTTTTTAGTTTTGAGTGTTGACTGTTGAGAGTTGAGAGTTGAGGTTATCTTCTTGTTTATTGTTATTAAGAGGCCCTAAGAGGGTAATGTTTGTTGAACCGGCGCTTGATGCTCGAACTGAACGGAAATATAAACTTTTACTTTAGTATTTATGTTGCATTGTTAATAGAAAAGATGAAATATCAATTAATAAGTGTCAATAATATGTATCTAAGATCAAATTCTCTTTTAGGTCTGTTAAAGAAAAGAGTAGGCCTATCATGGTTACAGATTAGGAAAGTAAGTTCCTTTTTACACTGTTCTCTACTAACGCTCTGGGGTACACTTCCATATCTGTTGGCACGAACAACCTAATGAAAATATCGATCGATATATTGATTATTCGGTTAGTTAGGTTAACCTAATAAGGTTAACCTAACCTAATTAACCAAATGATATATCGAATTAAACAATCGAATAATCATTATTACTCATTCGGTTGTTTGTGCCAACACCCACGCAAGTGGGTGGAAATGTATGGATGTATGGGGGGGGTGGAAGTGTACCCACACCCTGTTTACTGTCTAAACTTTAACCATATTAGGTTGCTGTAATACATTGTACCATCTTTGTACAAACGGGCTCACTTCAAGTTTTCATTGAGGGAAAACAACACATAGTCCTAAATAAGGCTGCACTTTACTTTAGGTCCTACTACACTCATTCGAATGAAAATATCGTTTATTTGATTGTTTCATTCGATATAGGCCTATCATTTGATTAGTTATCATTTGGTTAACCTTAAACTAACCAAACGATATATCGAATGAAACAATCGATATATCGATCGATATTTTCATTCGAATGAGTGTAGGACCTAAAGTAAAGTGCAGCCCTACCTAACTTAACTCATAAGTTAAGTTACTATCAAGTGGACATGGTTTTTCTAATAAGTACAGTAAAGTTAAAATAATATTGGCACTTTTAACCATACACCATACATCCATGTTGCAGTGCTTTCACATAACGTAACAAAAATCCTGCTAACCAGGTAAAATCTTAATTTATCCCGCTAAGATATAAACTTAATATGAGGGAAAATCCTATTTTATCCCGCATGAATTTTCTCGTTCTATCCCGAGTGATTTTTTTGACATTTTATCAAGATTAAATGGCTTTAAAAACCTTGCTATGGCAATTTCCTGAATCAATTAAGTAAAATAAGTAGGATGTTTTTTGTCTGGAAAACAATGTTTATAAAGAAAATCAGACATCAGATCTGAAAATAGCGTTCTATCCCACATCTTGTTTTAATCCTGCACATAGTCTAAAAATCCCGTTTTTTGGGAGAAAAATCCTGGGTATCGGAACCATGACATAGCCCCCACAAAGTAGGCGCCTAGACATTGGTCAAGACTTGTTTGTTTTTCGTCATTAAACAAAACCATCAATCAGCTCAAAATGTTTTCAATGTTTCATGCTCAATTGTAGCAACATCAAAGGTGCAATAAATGTGAAACTCAGTTAATGATTCTACAAAACACTAAAGAAACATATTACACAAGTCAAAACACATTTGTAATCACCACCATAAAATTAGCGTTTTCGTAGCTTTGTTGTTGAATAGGCCTAGGTCTAAATATTTGGAACCCTCATTGGTAGGTACCAACTTTTAACAAAATAGTCACCCATAACATTATAAGAAATTAAGTTACCTAAAAAATAAAAATAAACCTCTCTACCTTTACAACAGATGTAGCCTTTTGGGTGGACCACTGAATACAAAATTTGAATTTTGTTGCAAATTTTTAATTATAATTTTTAACTTTATATTGTGCATTTTTAAGTCATTAAAGCAGACAACTCCTGTTCGGGTGTAGCTGACTTGATTGACACTATTTGGAAGGACATCAATCAAGTTCAAGTAGAACCTTGATCATCAATTGTTCAGTTATACCATCTTCCATTTTATCAGACCCACCCTATGGACCATCGAGTACCGTGAGATCATGTTCTTATGGCATTTTATGGCATGACTGTACACAGTAGCATGTGTCTGGACAACATATTTTTTCACCCTTAACTGTTCTTATGTTTCCTTGTTTCTCACCGCACACTGCATGCCACCTGTATTTACTATTAGTAATCTCTTATTTTTCAGTTTAGGTCAGATAATTGAGATTATACTGTATCAGGCCTAGCCTAAATCCTTTGTATTGTAATTCCTTTAGGCCTAATCCTCTAGTTATTTGTGTTCCTGTTACTGTAGGCATGCTCATAAACAAGTTTTGTCAAATTGATGGTTATTGTTTTAGATTACAAAACAGGAAGCGTTATTGCCTGAGATGGATTTAAAAGTGAAGGATGATATTGAAAGCGAACGGATAAAACCAAGAAAACATCCAGGAGTTCTTAAACAACCTACTTGTTCACTGCCTGAAGATATTGTAAAAACTGTCAAAATTCTTACAGAAGGTAAGTTAATGTTATAATTTTTTTAATAGGGTAGTTCATTATGGAGTGTGTTAATTGTTTTCTTCAAATCATTTAATAGCAGTCATGTTGGTTGGAGAGAAGAGAGAGTGGTCTTGGTTTTTAAGTAACAGGAGGATTGTGTTCTTTTGGTGTTTGGGTGCCATAGTGTTGTGGAAAATATGAGCAGTAAAAATTTTGTAAAGACATTAATTTTAAATTTTTACTTTTAATTTGTAAATGATTATTTTTAGTTTTTTTCCTGTCATTCAGAATGCATTTACCCAATTAATAATTGATTGCCATTCAAGAACATTTCCAAGTGGCAAACCACAAATCGCAAACAATAAGGCTATAGCTGCACAGCAATAATGAAGGAAGAGATTGAGAAATGTTTACAAACTATATCCATTAATGTTTGTAATGACTTAGGGGCCAATAATGGTTCTAATTATTTTCAGATCGACAAATGGTTCAATCCCAAAATTTCCCACAGGAACGTCATGTTGGAAATCTCTCTTTACTTCAAGCAACTTTCTTCAAACATTAACATCGCATTATGATTTCAGATCATACCATCAAGCATTTACTAGACGATGCAAAAGTGCTCACCAACTACTTATATAGCCGTCATTATCCCTGGGAGGAAGAAGATTTACGAGAAAGGGTAGCCAGTTTTAAAGAAAACGTAAAATCCAGAAGTAATTACTGTATTTTTAAAATTGTTGCATGTTTCTTTACTCAAAAATTAGTTGATAATTTAGTATCGATCTTAAACTACCTATCTTTCCATCAGAAGAACATTATGGGGGAGAATTTTATATAATTTGCTGGAGATTAAATATATCTGTGTGTGTGTGAGCAATTAAAACAATGAGGTAATTATGTTTTAAACATTTTTGCTACCAAGACGGATGTACGAATGATATGATAGGTTACATACTTTTTTGTCCGTCTTCAGTCCTGAATAAAGTCAAGGGTGACTCTTTTCGGGTCAGAAATTACCAATTTTCAACCCAAAACATCAAATTGGTTGGTCCATAAATCCGACAGAAGTCTTCGTTATACAGTAACACATAAATACAATACACGTTGACACATATTTGTGAACTTGATGTGTCAACGTGTATTTATATGCTATAACGAAGACTTCTGTCGTATTTAGACCTATGGATTAACCAATTTGATGATATGGGTTTGAAAATGGGTAATTTCTGACCTGAAACTAGTCACCCTTGACTATATTAAAAAGTAAGGACTGAAGACAGACAAAAAGGTACGTAATCTATCATATTGTAATTATGTTCTTAGGGAAGCAACACTTTGAACTATGTTAGAGTTAGACTAGGACGCATTTGTTTACCTCCGTTTAGAAGATGTTTTCCCATTAAGCCTACATCAATTAATTTTATTTTAATGTTGGAATTTTATTAATGAGCCTCTTGAGAACCGTAGTTGACTTTTTTGTATCTCATTATGCTTTATGACACTATTTCTTTTATCATTAAGTAGGTAGATATTTGATTCACTATAGCGTATTTATGTTATTTTACAGTGCCTCCACTACCCGATGATTTCACTGACGACCAGGCTCACCACTATAACAACTTAGTGAAGGCCAGTGTTGCTAACCTTATGAGCAAATATAACTATAGGTGGAGCCCTCTAGATTTACAAGAGTACTCGTCTATGGTGTATTTGATGGCTCGATCCGCACCTAATTACGCTGCCGTCATGAGAGTGTTCAGAGAAATCGCAATGCTTCACCCAGACTACAAACCTGTCAACTTGTTTGACTTTGGGGCAGGAATAGGATCTGTTTCATGGTCAGTATATTTTTTTTAGTTTCCTTAAGCTGTAAATTTCTTAAATATGAATTCCCCCTCACTTGACCATAAATATAGATTGCACATTGTTACATTTTTCGGTTGAGTTTTCTCTTATTTTTCATAAAATAGGAACTGTTTGTCTGTGGTTGCCTTACAATTTTACTCATAAAATATGTAACTGAGATCAAACTTTTTTGTAATACTAGTTGTAAATTTATCATTATAATAATTGGATGTTAGGTTAGAGTTTTTTTTTTTTTTACAGTACCGGTACCTACATCCTGGGCGTCATATCAGAATTGAGGGGGGGGAATGGTCACAAATATTCCATTTTGGTTTTTCCATTTGTAATCTTTAGGTCTTATTGACCTAAAAATTCTGTAAGATGTACTGGGCGTCATATCAAAATTGAAGGGGGAATTGGTCACAAATATTCCATTTTGGTTTTTCCATTTTTAATCTTTAGGTCTTATTGACCTAAAAATTCTGTAGTTCAAATCCGCTTCAAGAAGTTATTTGCCAAATTATTCAATGATTGATGTCTTTCTATTCTACTTATGATGCATTTAATTTTCCTCTTTCCTTAAAAGTTAGGGAGGGCCACTGCCCCCCATTGTTTTTGCTAGTTTACCTGAAGAAACTGAGAGTCTATGGGTTAAGAGATCCAGGGTTGCCACCAGCCATGAAAACCTTGAAAAGCGTGAATTATGCGTGAATTTAGGTGACCATGAAAAAGTGCGTGAATTATGCGTGAATTTCGTCATTGGACCATGAATTCTCAAAATCATTATTAACAATTCAGCCAAAACCCCTAAATGTGCTGAATCAAATACTCCGTATTAAAACCATTCTCGAAATGAACACCGAGATAAAACGTCAAAGTGGGAGTGTCGAGATAAAAAGTTTTGTTGCCATGGCACGAACAGAAACGATTGCGTAGTTTATTCAAGGTCAAATCCAATCGCAACCGACGTCAGCCGAGTAGTCTAGAGATGGGAATTATCGTTGTTTTCCGGCAACGGTTATAACGATAACGCAGCTGCCCAATAACGTAATGCGGCAACCTGTTATTTCAATAACGATTGCCAACTCGTTGCCGCTATAAACCGTTGTCCGCCGGTCGGTGTTGCTGTTGCGGCGTTCAGTTATCATTGTCGGTTGATCAGTTCAGTTTTCAGTTGTAGTCGGGACTCGGGAGTCGGGCGTTGCCGCGTTGTCCAGACAGGATGCGTTATTCTAGTTCGTTTCAGAAGTTATCGTTGCTCTGGTAGCGTTGCGGCAACGGCACTAATGGCAATGCATGTTTTCGTTTTCGTTGTCGCGCGGCTTTCCTGCAACATTGTGTAGATAGATACGTTATTATAATAACAGGGAGTTCTCTTCAACGTGTTGCCGCGATAACGTTGCCGTGGCCGCAACACTGTTATTCATCCTGTTATTCCTGTTATGTTTTATAACGCCCATCTCTACCACCGAGTTATTGTCTGTGCGAGTACCGATCTACCGATAAAATCGATGCTTTCGGAGCTAAAACATCGATCACATCGATGTTTGTTCCGAGTTTCTCGTCTGTTGTCTGTTCTCTGCACTGTAACAGCCAATTAACCTAAAACCAATACAATTCAGTTACGGAAAACATCAATATTTCATATTTCATTACTTTTGTTGGCCTAAAAGACCGATGTAACAAACCAAATCATCGGTTCGGTAATCTACCATCGATGTAAACAAATAACTTCGAACATCGATAGAAAAGACATCGATGTTTCGAAAACATCGACAATCGGAATTGATGCTCGCTCTCATTCTCTACTCTCTCTACTCTAGTGTTCGTGTGGAAGGAAATACAGAGTAACCATAACCTAAAAGTTTTAAACTGATCTGAAACTTAGAAACGAGTCAAACGTTTGAAGTAGTGGTGGACACTGGACAGTAAGATCACTTGTTGCACTCGTGATTCAGTTTTGTGCTTCTTATAATTGATTACCCAACACTCAGTGGAACAAGTGTTCAGATTAAATATTTTTTATTACTGATATATTATACTTCCGATACTTTACAACGTTAAAATAAGAAGTACCTTGCCTTGCCATAAAGGTCAAAATGGCTTGCGCCGGCTGGAACTTAATCGTCTTCTGTGTTTGTTTTGGTCAAATATGTCGTCATTTCAAACTACTGTCAGTGTTGAGTAAATGTGTTACAACGTGAGATTAAGTTTATTTATTTAGGCCTAAGTTGCAAGAAGTCAATGTTGTGCTGAAAAATGGTGATTTCGTTCTGAGGAAGGTAAATGTAAATGCTTTGTTGAAGCATATAACTAGGTGTTTTCAGTCAATACGAATCTAACTAAGTTTTTAATGAGATGTAAATTTAATTAAATAATTGTTTTAACTGTGATTTAAACCTGTGTAGGCAAATAATAATATATAAACTGATCCAATCTGAAGAAACATCCTCCTAACTAAGTTTATTTTAACCTTTTCTGTAATGTAATTAATTATTTTTTTATTACTTAATGTAAGTTAGCCTATGTCTAAACTTACATACATTCCATTACTTTTGTTTCGTTCTTAGCTTTAACTAAATATTTATTTACATAATCTTACCTTTTTAGAGTGTTTTTATCAGTCAGTCGGTAACCTTTAATCTTCTCAATAAATAAAAGTTGGTTCAGGCCTAACTTAGCCAAGATTCAGTTTTGGATTACAATGTAGGCTAGCCTACTGTGTTACAGTATAAAGTAATAAATTGCATGTGCGTTTTAGTAGGCCTAGATATGGCCCATTCATTACCAAGTTAACCGTTTCTTGATCATGTTCTTAACATTTGTTTTTATAGTAGCCTATTATCTTAATTTGATGTTTAGACAGTAAAGTTCTAGGCCATTGCTGGATTAACTAAGTTAAACCTGTTATGTTTGGATGCAATGTTTTTTAGGTTAGGCCTAGACCTAACTACCAATCCGACTTATTTTTTTATTTATTATTTCTTCTAACGTTTGAATTTATCATTAGGCCTATGATGTTGTTAAATCAGATGTTTCAATTTTTTTTTAATAATTACATCTTATTATCACACACAAGATTTTTATTAATCCTTTTTCATCTGTGATTTTACTTTTTTAGACTGGATAAATTATATTAAATTATTATTTTTAACTCTAAAATAAACACATGAAATGTGTTTTATTTGATAGTAGCACACAAAACTATATATTGTCGATAAATTAATGTACAATTCTGAACTAGGCAACACTCTTTTATGGTGAAATTGTGCGAGCATATACCCCATGAATTTTTCAAAACTACCAATGAAAACCTTGAATTATGCATGAATTTTTTTATCTCACTTTGGTGGCAACCCTGAGATCACTTCTCTAACTTCTAAAAGAGTCCTGTGCCATGTCAAAAAAATCAGTATCTGTTGTGAGAACAGTTTATTTCATAACACCTGTTAATTTCTATTAATTATTATCATATGTTTATTTGTTATACTATGTTTGTAAAAAGGTAAATAAAGTTAGTTGAGTTTGAGTTATGACATAAAACAGTGCATTCACTTAATTCTTAGTAAAATAGTACATGGTGGCAGCGGTTTAGAGCTATGCCTCAGAAGAAAAATCCAAGAAGGAAACAATCTGACTATGAAGATAATGAAAATGAAAGAAGCAGAGAAAATGAATACAACAATTCAACTAAGAAGTCAATCATTGTATCAAAAACTCATTCAGTTATTCAGCCTCCAGCTAGTTTCTCCTTTGTACCAGCAGATTGGCCAAGATGGAAAACCCGATTTCAAAGATATCGGTCAGCATCTGGGCTATCTGAAGAGTCTGAGAACAAACAAATCAACACTCTTATATACACATTAGGTGAGAAAGCTGATGAGATTTTTGCATCTTTTAATTTAGCAACCGAATCAACGCTAACATTTGAAGAAGTCTTAGATTTATTTGACAAACATTTTATTCCACGGAGGAACTTAATTTTTGAAAGAGCAAAGTTTTTGAAGAGACAACAAAAAATTAATGAAACAGTTGAAGAGTTTATAGTTAGTCTCCATTCCTTGGCTAGAACCTGTGACTGGGGTTCACTTAATGATGAAATGGTGTTGATGGTACTAATACTGGGTTTAAATGATGAGAAACGTAGTGATCGCTTGTTGCTAGATCCCGAGATGAATTTAGACAAGGCCATTACAGTAATAAGACATGCAGATAACGTAAAGAAAGAGAAGGCAGATTTATGTGATGAGAAAAGAGTTCAAATTGAAGCAACTACGTCATCGAGTTCCTACCAAAATCAAGGATATAGGTTTCGTCAAAAGAAACAAGAATACCCAGCGCAATGTATCTGGTGTGGTTATAAACCGTCCCATCCAAGAAGCACGTGTCCAGCAAAAAGCGCAACATGTAACTTATGCAAAAAGATTGGTCACTTTTCGAAGGTCTGCAGATCTAAAGAAGCACAGGAAGTAACTGACGAAAATGAAGTAGCCTAAGTGAACTTGGACCTTCAAATAATAAAGTATTCATAGGTACACTTGGGGATGGGTCAAAATGTAAGCCCTGGAAACTAGAATTAGTATTTGAGGGAAAACCACAAACATTTAAAATTGATTCAGGGGCAGATGTAACAGTAATTCCCCCTGGCATAGTTGATCCAAGTAGGATCCAGCCGACTCTAGTTGAGTTGTTTGGGGCTGGTAGAACAAAATTAGAAACTGTAGGTTGTGTTAGAGCTAATATCCAATACAGAGATGTTAAAATAAATCACATGGTATACGTAGTGAAGGGACTCATAACACCCTTGCTTGGTCGTCCAGCAATACAGGACTTGAAAATTTTAACTTTTGTTAATTCAGTTGCAGAGGTAGACAGTGACTTTTTTACCGAATACCATGAAATGTTTAGTGGTCTGGGCGTCATTCCTGATCCCTACACAATAGCACTTAAGGATGGCGCAAAGCCATACGCAATAACCACTCCTAGGACAGTACCTTTACCCCTAATGTGTCAAGTGAAAAAAGAACTAGAAAGTATGGTACAAAATAATGTAATCACACCAGTTGAGCATGCTACTGAATGGTTCTCAGCAATGGTAGTAGTGCCTAAATCTAATGGAGATGTCCGCATATGTGTTGACTTAACAAAGTTGAATGAATCCATCCAGCGGTCTTATCATCCGATTCCCAAAATTGAAACGTCTCTCAGCTCAATCTCAGGAGCAAAATGGTTTTCAAAACTTGATGCAAACAGTGGTTTTTGGCAAGTCCCCTTAAATGTAAATTCCCAGGATCTAACTACTTTCCTTACCCCTTTTGGACGTTTTAAATTTCTCAAACTTCCATTTGGAATCACATCAGCACCTGAACATTTTCAGAAATGCATGAACAAAATCTTAGACAACCAGTCAAATGTCGCAGTCCATATGGACGATATTCTGATTTGGGGCAAAACGAAAGAAGAACATGATACAGTTGTTCGGCAAGTACTTGAAAAGCTTAAAAATGTAGGAATGACACTTAACAAAGACAAAACTGAGTTTGGGAAGTCAAGTATTAAATTCCTCGGGCATTTCCTCTCATCCGATGGAATTTCTGTTGATAAAGAAAAGGTTTCCGCCATTCTCAAAATGGACTGCCCAAAAAACGTAAAAGAACTTCAAAGGTTCAATGGGATGGTAAACTTTCTTGGTAAGTTTATTCCTGACAAAGCTAAGATTTTGGCCCCAATGAATTCACTACTTCAAGCTAACGTTCCATGGATATCGGCATAGATAAATCATACTCCCTTAGTAGATTTGTCATCCTTATGGAACAGCTGAAGCTAATTTTATTGTTTATTCTGTACGTCCAACTGTAGAGGTTATGTTTTGTTTACAATTGTTTTCTTGTTATTTCAGTCATTTAAATCATAATTTAACTAAATAAAACGATTTAATCATAAACAATAACTGGTCTCCTGGTTATATAACCAAATAATAAAGCACAAATCATGAAAATAACCCTAAAATAATATAAACAAAATGTTGTCTACCCCAGCAATCAGAGTGGACGTACATGAACTAGACACAAAAAACAAGCTTCAAAATTTACAATGGGATGAGGAGTCTACTTGTATTGCTTAGTCTATGATATCGGGTCCAGAGCAGGCGAAGGCCTTTGATGAAATAAAACTCATTTTGACTAACTCTCCTTGCCTAGCCATTTACGATGTAAATCGGGAAACAATTATCTCCTGTGATGCCTCGCTTCAAGGACTAGGATCAACTCTTTCTCAAGTTCAAGGTGATGGTTCTATACGACCAGTATCATTTGCATCCCGAAGCCTTCTTCCTTCTGAAAAAAACTATGCAAACATCGAGAGGGAGGCTACAGCTGTTGCTTGGGCATGTGAAAAGTTTCAAGAATTTATTATTGGCAAGAGAATAACAATACAAACAGATCACAAACCACTACTTCAAATTTTGAAATCCAAACATCTTGATGAATTGTCTCCAAGAATTCAAAGAATTCGATTGCGTCTCATGAGATATGATTTTTCAATTACTTATATTCCTGGAAAGCAGCTTCTAGTTCCTGATGCTCTTTCAAGAGCACCTCTCCCATTTTCAGGTACTGATGACCGTGAGTTAGAAGAAGAAACTCAAGCGTTTGTTCAAATGGTTTTGTCGTCCATCGATATAAACGACTGCATAGTTGCTAAAGTATTGGAGGAACAAAATAAAGATCCGACTTTACGTGAACTGAAAAAAATAATCATCCAAGGTTGGCCTTCTAAGACATCATTACGAGATGACCTAAAACCGTATAATTCAGTTAAGGATGAGCTAAGTGTTGATAATGAGATGATACTACGAGGTTCAAGACTTGTAATACCGCCAGCTCTGCAGTCTTGGGCACTTCAAAGAGTACATGAAGGTCATTTTGGAATCACCAAGTGTCGTTTACGTGCAAAAGAGTCAGACTGGTGGCCAGGAATTTCTTCAGCCATTGAAAGTATGGTGAAATCATGCCCTACTTGTATTAAACATTCAAGGAACAGTCATGAACCATTGCTTCCCACACAATTCCCTGACAGGCCATGGAAAACACTTGCGATGGATTTGTTCAAACTTGAAGGCGTTTGGTTTTTGACTGTGACAGATTATTACTCCAGATATTTTGAGATAGCTGAATTAGAGTCATTAACATCACGAGAAGTAATAATGAGATGCAAAGCCTTTTTCTGTCGACACGGCATTCCAGAAGAAATTAGGTCTGACTGTGGGTCTCAATTTCAAGTCCTTGAACATTCAGATTTCAAGACATTTTCCAAAGTTTATGGCTTCAAGCATATAACAAGTAGCCCAACATTTTCCCAAAGCAATGGAGAGGCTGAAGCGGCAGTGAAAATCGCCAAAACGATTCTAAAGAAAAATGTGGAAGACCCTTATTTAGCGCTTCTAGCCTATCGAACGACACCCCTCTGGAATGGGTTCAGTCCCTCTCAGCTTCTTATGAACAGGCGATTACGGAGCACATTGCCTCAGACAGGACATTTGCTTTGTGGAAAACCAGATCTAAAGGATCTTAAAGGGAGAGAAGAAACATATCGTGAGAAGTACAAACACAACTATGATAGAAGGCATAAAGTGCAAACTCTCAATCCTCTTCATATAGGAGACCCAGTTTGGATTGTGGACCTCAGAAGACATGGCAAAATTGTGAAAATCCTGGACAGCCCTCGTTCATATATTGTTGAAACTGATAAGAGGAATGTGAGAAGAAATCGATTCCACCTCAAACTTGCCCCTTATTTAAGAGAGGAAAACCGTGAACAAAATTTGTCAGCGAATACACATCAAACAGAACCATACAACCGTCTAAAGAGAAATATACACAAACCAAGCTGGTTGAAGAACTTTCAAACTTAAAAGGGAGGATGTTGTGAGAACAGTTTATTTCATAACACCTGTTAATTTCTATTAATTATTATCATATGTTTATTTGTTATACTATGTTTGTAAAAAGGTAAATAAAGTTAGTTGAGTTTGAGTTATGACATAAAACAGTGCATTCACTTAATTCTTAGTAAAATAGTACAGTATCATATTCTTGTAAGCCCATTGAACTTAATTTTCCTCATATCTGAGCTCTATCCTTAAAAAAACCTTATCAATTAAATTTCAGGCAAGTTTATAAAATGTCCTCTTTCAGGGCAGCCAAAGCATATTGGGGAGACTCGTTGAAGGAGTTTGTGAACATTGACAGCTCCAACAGTATGAATGAGTTATCCAGTCTCATCATCAGAGGTGGGAATCCTGAAATTGAGGTTCCTCTGAACGTTTACTATCGATCCTTCTTGCCTTCCCAACACGTGAGTTGATTAAAACTTTAAGTTTTTTTGTGGTTTTGTTTTGAATAGAAGTTTATACATATCTTCTTCCTGGGTGTCTATTAGGTCTTTCCGTTTTCTTCTATCCTTCCAAATTTCTCTTCTTCTACCCTCTGTCATCTCACTACTCTCTTATGCTCCTCTTCATCTCAACCATCCACTTTCTTTTTTTAAATCTTTTATAATTTGTAATTTGCTTTTCATTCTTTTTCAAATATGTTTTTTTAAGAGGTTGGCAGCCTCTTTTAACCTTACTTTTTTCCTGTCCACATAGGCTACAAACCTGTGAGTGAAAATATCCAGAAAAACAAGAGTGAAAGGATGAAGTGTGCTGATAAAAAGTAGTGGCAGGTACAGTACTAGGATCCAAACCCAAGACATCGCTGCTTTGAGCTCGAAGTGTGTGGGACTACCGAAAGAGTCACCGACTCACTCTCCTCTATCATCATTAAATCCAAATCCATTACTTAGGCATTCTCTCCTCAGATCATCAATGTCCAAATCATCTTTATCTTATTCTTTCTTTCCATAATTTCTCTCTTATCTCTTTATTAATGTAATAGGAGTTTTCTTTGTTAGTAATTGGCAATGGTTCTCCATAAATTAAAAACAATTTTGATAGTGGCTGCAGTTCTGCAACCAACGTGATAACTAAAATCACCTCATTCACTGATATTTATTCATTACTTAATTATATTTCACTACTCTCACTTCTCAGCACTTTCATGTAAAAGGTAATTATTTGGCTTTTTCAACTACCTGCCTCCGATTCTTTCTTTTCTGTTGGTTCTTACATATTTGTATTTAAAATAGCTTCATCTCTCCTTTGTCAATTCCATCTCAAATTTCAATCATCCAACCATTCAATCTCAATCAACCATGTGTCGTGTTATATCTATTATGCCATTTTCCATTTTATTTTGTTGGACTAAAGATTTTATTCTTGATTAAAATCATACAATCTTTTTCTCTGCCTGGTGTCCATCAAACGATCTTATAGAATCTTAATCCATAGAGTTAAGGAATCATTTAGACAGAAAATAGTTTTCAGTTCAAAAATCTTACTTAAAAAATATACCACCAACTAACTGAATGTTGTTCACAGCGAAAGTACAGCATCGTGGTGAGTGCACATTCACTGCTAGAACTGCCTAGCCGGGATGCTCGTCTCAATACCCTGCTGAATCTTTGGCACAAAACACAAGACTTCCTGGTCATCGTGGAACAAGGGACCAAGCCTGGCTTCAAGGTAATGCCAAACTTCCTTGTAGTTGTAGGTATCCCATCCACACAGATCAGCTGTAGACAATTTATTTTATGATTAGTAACACATGAGTGTGTTGACCGGTGTTGACGTAGTATGCTTATCGTATACTCTAATATGAGGTGTGTCTAGGGGAGCAAGCTGGTCTAGTGGTTAGAGCGCGAGACTTTGGTTCCAGGGGTCCCGGGTTCAAATCCCGCCAAATCACCAATGGATTTTATCGAAGTGATAATGCTGCAACCCCTAGATCTAGCCTGGAGTAATTTGAAAAACAATTCCGGGCTCGTGCCTAGCGTCCTAGGGGGGAAAAAAGGAGGTATGTCTGTCTGTGTTTGTCTGTAATAGGCTATACAGGGTGTCCCGTAAGTAAACAGCGAAACTCCAGGAAATGGTTATAAGTGTTCTCGGAATATTTTCATAAAATAAGCCGTTTTTGAGTAGTTTAAGTTTAAAAAATTAAAATGGCCACCATTTTGAAATTTTAAGTTGAATGAAGATGATTTTTTTTCTAACATGGGGCTCTTCTACCTTAACATACATACCACTATTTATAAAGATTGGTTGAAAAAAATCCAAAAATAAAAATGTTTATGTAAAAAATACAAAATGGCAGATATCTTGTTAACAAAGCGATTTTGGAAAAAATATTATTCTCGATTTTCTCTTTATTTTGACCCATAGAACCATTTCCCGGAGTTTGGCTGTTTACTTATGGGACACCTTGTATATCTCGGAATGCAGCAGAAGGATGTTGACTAAATTTTGGAATTAGGGACTTTTAGCCCTAAAAACGTGGTTGGTGACAGCCACTACCTCAGGTAAATTTGTATTTTTTGCTACACAACTCATTTGAAACTTAAAAAGTTAAAAATGTATCATAAGGCCTGTGGGTTGCGAAGTAACTATGTTGGTTGAAAATAACAAGGAAATAGTAAACAAAAGACTTGTCACATGTGTTTATAATAAGCCATCCACAGTATACTAGCAAAATTAAAAATATGGTACTAAGGGAATTACATAAGTTGTAACTATTGAGCAAGGATTACACTGAAGATTATTTGATATAGGTGAAAATAGATCCAATCAAATAGCCTACTGATTATTTTACTCAGCCCTCTCCCTCCAAAACTTAATCCCCGAAGTACTGAGGCATTCCAAGTAAACTAATTATATCTGGGGGTTTAATTGGCATAACAATATTACCATATGATAAATCCCAATGAAAAAAGATAGAATCTCAATTTCTTTAGAAATAGTAGCGAAAAAGTGAAAAATTGTTATCACAATCTATTTAGAAACTAATATGATTTTGTTTGTATAATATTTTTATCTGCTGTCATTGGTGAGTGTAAAAGTCGAACAAAGGGGTTTAAATTACTAAAAGGGAGAAACATTTGGTGCGAGTAGCAGTTTAACTTAAGCAAGATTATAAAATCATATCTTATTTTTGTTTAATTGCATACTTTTACAATACAGAGTTGTTATTATTTCATTGATAATATGTCTATCGTTTGTTTACGATATTGTTTTAACGATAAAACATAATTAACCACAACCAAGCAAGGCTTGGTCCCTTGGTACTTTCTTGTTATATACTAACATTAAAATTACCCTAACTGGAAGTTTGTCATTTTAAAATTATTACTACCAATAACCTGAGATCGAGTGTCCCTTTATTATCAGCGTTTGAATCACCATTTACTCATAGATAGTTACTACTCATAGTCAACACAGCTATTAAATAAGAGCAGGGGTACACTATGTTTAAATGTCCTTACGCCTTATTTTTTTACAGGTTATTGTTGAAGCAAGAGATTTCATTCTTTCATTGGCCAATGAAAAAACTCCAGCTCATGTTGTAGCCCCAGTAAGTTAAATAATCTAGACTTAAATATAAACAAACATGACGTGTTGAGAGACCAATATCCTCTAAGGGGTGTGTTTTCCACTAGACACTCTTGCATAGTTGTAGGGACAGCCTGTCTGGGGGTGGCATGGCCCGATGATGGCACGCACCGGGAGTTGGGTTCAGAAACTGTGAACGGCAACCAAGGCAGCCAAATACATCAAAAGAGTAGTGGTGCCCATTCCCTACTGTCCTGCCAATATGAATTAGAAAAGGTCTTAGCAGGAGCAAACACTTAAATCCGTCCGTACCTGTAAACGATAGGTAATTGATTTTTAGGGTTCTGCAGTTTGGTTTTGATTGTATCCTTGTATCTTTTGTTAATCTGGTTTTAAATAGATTGATTTGAGCCCCTACTTGGCGCAAATCATGTCATTCTAATACATGGACACAGTTAAGTGTACGACAAATGAATGAAAGATGTAATTAGGTAACCTCAGTCTACTATCCCCCTGAATCTGACAGCTACAAAAGGGAGCTGAGGCATGGAAAATATGATATTGTAATCTTTAAACCCTCTTTCTGTACTAATTCAAGTGGAACAGAATTGTGAAGAACCCGTATAGTATAGAAGTGTCTTGTGTATGAAGTGTCCAGTGGCTAATATGTTTTTAAACACTCTTGAATTTTGTAAACATAAATCTATAACTTGAAAATATAAACTTAAATACAAAGTTGTAAATCAACCTGTATTCATTCATATTCTCCATAGGGCAAAAGGGCAAAACTACACCCAAATTGCATGTTATAACACATTTTAAATGTACAGTAGTTACAAGAGTCGTATCATATTCTGTAGACACATTTCTAAACTTTGTATTCTTTAGATTTTCGTCAAGGCAGTGTTTATAAGCAGAGAAACCAAAATTACTTTATTTTGATATCTAACCCTATTGATCAATCCAATAATTAAAACATGACTTTACTTTCGAATAATTTATTTTCAACAAATTTTACCTACTGGGGGTAACTATAATAAACCAAACAGAATTATATTCTGCATGGCGGGGTATGGCCCTTGAGGGAACCATTCCGGCATTTGCCTAAATGAGGTAAGAAACCATACAAACTCACCTCGGAATGGTCGGTCCGATAGTCAGACCTCCCGAATGTGAAGCAGCTTGATGCTACCTCACTCGGTACAATATTATTACATAGCAAGATATCTAATACTAATTTATATACTATATAATACGTAATACTAACTAACACTTAGAAATATACCTACTAATACTACATAATAAACTCTTCATTTCTTTCTTCTTATCCAGATGTTGTCCACTGCTTCGTATTCTCCTAGTGCAACTCTTTGACTTCTTTGGCTTCTGCTACTGTTTTCTGACTAGCTATTCCATTGCTAGTTCCTGTTAGTTGCTCTGTGACGCTTCTTCAATTCTTGTATTTACCTTGTTTCTCTTCATGTATTCTTATTGTTCCTTTGATTCGAAAACATCACTTGTGTATTCGTCTTCCCTTACCCGCAACTATTGAACATTCAGTTCATTTCTCTTTTTCAGTGTAGTTATTCATGTACCTTTTCCTTATATCACTTTCATATTATTGTCTTCTGATTAATTCCAATTGTTTAGTTCTCATCTTGATTTTGTTTCTTGTTTTGTTTTTTTCTTTTCCATGACTTTTCCCTAACTTTCTAATTGCACCAACTTTTAGTGTAAATAAATGGTTATCTGTTTCCATAGAAACGTCATTATCTACAGGTTGTTCTGATGTTTTTATTGAGAACCAGTTTTGTTGTTAAAATTATTAGAGCTTGTATCCTATAACAATGCTTGTTTTTGCCCATAACAATGTTATTTATTATAGGTCTACTTAAACCCATCATTAGTAGAATAAGTACAAAATACAAACATAACACTACACATTTATACACATTTTAGGAATAAAAGTTTTAGTTATAGACAATATGTTTTGCAAAACATCCTAGGTGTCATAGTTGGTTTCTAAAAGGTTATATTCAAGCCTCCATTTTTTATTAATGAAATTACTTCAGCAATGGTTTTGTTGAAAATTTCTAAAATAATTAGTAATGAGATTTGTTTTACATTTACATTGGCTAGATGATTATACAGATTTAAATTTTAAGTCTTAAGCTGTCCAGATAATCTTTTATTGCTTTAGCCACACTTAACAAACCCAAAAGCTTGACTTAGTTACTTTTGAGGATGAATTACAAGTAGGCCTACAGACATTGTTAAGAGTCTTTTTCACAATTTTACGCTGTTTACTTTTTCTTTTCTAGTGCCCCCATGAAGAAGGTTGTCCCAGGTACCTACGAGGTCCATATCCTTGCCATTACCAAGTAAAGTATTTTGATTTACAAGTGGGAAAGAAGGAAGAAATAAAAAAGGAGCTGCTGTCTTATGTGATCATTAAGAAAGGTGAGTTTGTCTTTGTTTTTTGGAAATCCTTTCATTATAATCTTGTATGGTGGTAAGAGCTCTGAATTTGTTTGTTTAGGACACTGCAGTTGCCAAGAAAAAATCTCTGAACTAGGCCTATTCAACAAGTTATCAAGACATCTTTCCACCTGGAAAATTGTGTTTTTGTTGTGGAAATGCCATAGAGTAGTAGGTTTTTAGTTGTAGTAGGTCATTTTAAAATTTCTGGTAACCCTAAATAATATTTGTTATCGATTTTAAATTTTGAAACAACTTACAGTTGGACATTACTAATCTATCACCCATGAAATTTTAAAACAGAAGCATCAAATGCACAAGGAGGCTGTAAAATATCAGTTTACATAGATGGAACTGCTGTGATTAGGTTAGAATAGATTTAGATGAAATTTTAGATAAGGCTGACACATTAGGATGCGTATTTTAAGGTGAAGATGAGTACAGGAATGCAGCTGGTTTTTAACCTAGGAACGTTCAAAAGCTGATCATCGACAAACGCATCGAGTTTTCACCGATCAAAAAGTTACTGACTTCTCAGAATCAAACTGGTGAATTTCTAGCTACTAGTAGCCTAAGCGAGCACTACATTCAATATATCTCAGCTACGTAGCTACTCTTTAGCCCAGCCAGTTAAAGGCTCGACAATTAAAGGCAGCTGGGTTTAGTTCAGAACCCTCATATATCTTATGACTCTTTATAAGTTTTGGTTATGTGCAAAAAGGTTACAACGTGCCAGATTACCTTGGTTGAATTGTCTTGTCAGGTGAGAGGCAGCCAGGCCCTGAGAGCGAGTGGCCAAGAGTCGTGCGACCTGTGCTGCAGCGACACAACCACGTCATCTGTCGCCTCTGCACACCTCATGGTGACCTGCGTGAGATCATCTTCACCAAGAGTAAACATGGCAAGTAAGTCTGAGCCTAGTACATTTCATAGTCATACTCATTGTTCTTAGTTTATAATATAGGTTGTCATATTAAGTGTGTTGGTCCAATAACGTTTTACAATATTTTCATTCAATCAATGTTTTGAATTTGGTATAAACTAGTAGATTTTTTTATGTGTGATAGAATAACTCTTTGTATTTAGTTTGAGTCAAAATTAAAACACAAAAATAAAACTGTATTACCTCATTGGTGGTCGGTAAAATAAACGACAACTCTATATTGTCAGCCCGCGAGATGACGGTCTTCCTTAAGCTAACATCTGGGTTGTCGCTGAATAAGGCACATCTTACTTGCATGGTTTTATTCCTAAAGGTTTATGTAGAGATAAACTCTTAGGCCAGTTTATCTACATTGATACTTTATTTACTTTTATACTTTCCAATACCATCAGCACTTTTATGTGTTATTAAAAAACAGTCAAAACTTGGTCTTCATACTATCTTACATTAATTTGTTAGATATCATTAAGTGGTAGTTTTGTAAGATATGACATATGGGTCCAAAATCGATCTTACTCATAATCAAACCAGCAACATTCAGTTTCAAAGGAGAGAACATTGAGACAAATAAAACACTTCACTCCACATGTTTTGTCCAGGGTGTTGTACAAATGTGCCAAAGTAACCAGCTGGGGAGATAGACTACCAGTCAAGTTATCTCCAGTAGACACTGAGACTGAGACACAAGAAAGTGGAGATGACGAAACGTGATGTAGCCTAACTGTTGTGCACAACATGTAAATAATAGTATAGTAAAATGTAAGTCACAAAGTGGTGTTCACATTTCTTTTCCTTCTTCAATTCGAAATAAAATGTCTACAGAGTTGTTACCTCTCTGTAATATCTTGATTATATACTTCATGTTTGACATGTTAATTTGCTTGTCTTTGTTGGCAACATGTTAATCATACGATGATCTGAAATCTTTGTAATTCCACCACTATGAAATAAAGCAACGCCATTGATCAACCAAGTCACTCCACTTCCCCAGCCCCATGTAAACCCTCACTTCACTGCCTTAGTTATTGCCGAGCTCCCATCCTTAGGACTTTGGCCCTGTTGGTCGTTAGCACAGTATTCAACCGTTGTATTACTGTTAACTTTGTAATACCCGTACAATAAGAACAAGTCAAGTCAAGTCAAGTCCCTATGAAGTAAATTTTCATGCTCCTGTAGACACCAAGAAAAGATATTACATAAGAAAGTGGAAATAAAGGCGGCACTCGATGTACTTTGACTTATTTGCATAACTAACAACCTTTAGTGTAAATAACAGAAAAATAATGCGAAGGCCTTAAAAGCTGCATTTCACATGTTTATCTTTTCTCTAATTTCCCCTCCTTTGCTTCTTCTTTGGTTTAAAAAGTTTGCAGGGTTTTTGTGAAATTCTATACTATAAGAATTTTTTTAATTTTGTAACATTTACATTTGGTGAAATACAGTGTAGTATTGTAAAGATTAAAATTGGGTAAGTGAAAGTGGATAACAAATTAATTAATAATTTTTTTTCAATATGAGCCAGTTAAGGGGTTAGGATGTACAATAAACTGTTAAAGTATGTGGTGGTGGTTTTTATTAGGGCAATGCATTGAGTCAGACCAATTTAATACCCCTCTTCTGTTCCCTAAAAACAACCCTCAAACCCTCAAAAGAAAAAAAAATCCTAATTTCTCTTAGTACCATTTTTAGAGCTTAAAAATAAAAATCATTTAGTATATTGAAAGGTTTTTCTACGGTTAGAAAGAAATTCAAAGCGGAGAATAATTCTTATGTAAGTAAACTGTTGTAGTTTGCTTGTTTACGGATATATTTTTATTAAACTTGGCAAATTAATTTATTTTATACCAAGCTAAAAATATTCTACTAAAATATAAAAAACCCACTTGATTACCCTCCCTGTAGCAGCAAAACCTTGGTACTTGTTAAGCATAATGTTATTTAAATGGATTTAATTGAAAATCCAATCGGGCAAATGGAAATTCGCTTACTGTAGTCTGCAAGTTTGCTGTGGCGGGGGTATATTTATTTATGAACTTTTCTCAGTTATATATTGCTGTTATTAACTATTTGTAAGCACCAACGGAAAAATTAGGCTACATCTGATGTGCTTAAACAAGAACATCAAACTGTACACATAAAACATTGTTGTAAGCATAGGGGCAAATTACAGGCCATTATACAAAATGAGTTTTGAAGTTGTTACCGGCGGAAAGTCTCGATTCCCTCGATTTTTTACTCAGTTAACCAGAGAAACTGGTAGAGAAATGTTTCCCCTTTGTCTAAACTCCTTTGTCAAGGTAAGTTTAAATTAAAATTTGAATTAATTTTTATTGTCTTTTTTTCATTTGTAACTGGGAAAGGCGCTACTGGTCTAGTACATTTTTAGAAAGAAGGAAATTGTAGTTACAAGGTGTGGTACTTCCATCCTAGGGGATTTCATTTGATTTTTTTCACCTCAGCCTTACAGCTACAGCTTTTTATATATTGTTCAATTAAGAGAAGTTTTACAAATACAAATCATATCAAAATTAAATGGATAAAAAAAAATTGATGTGATATATCCATCAAACTTTTCTGATATTAGAAAGAGTAAATTAAGATCCAACCCCATAAGCATTTATGATATTATTATTAGATTTTATTACCTTAACATACTATCTATTGGGGAAGATGAGTGAAGGATGAGTTTTGAATGAGATGACATCATTGTAACTGAATGTGACCACCTTTGGTTCTCAAGTCAGAAATATGAATTTATCAAAAGGAAAGCCCAATAATCAAGGACAGTTCAGTTTTGATCCATCAAAAAGGTTATAATTTTTATCAGGATCGGCCCCCTGATCTTCTAATACTCACACAGAATAAGTAGACACTAGGCTACTATATTCTGTGCTACTAGGTGAAGGGGAGGTTGCATGAATTTAGCTCCTTTAAAAGGGGGTTTATACTTTGATTATCAACAATATAGCTTAAAAAACTCATTTAGTTTTATCATCATGGATTTACTGAAGACAAATTGAAGGTATATTTCTGTTTGGTATTTATTAGTGTGTATGATGTAGACTATATTCTGGTTGTCATATTTTTTTACTAAACCAGTTAAAAACTATCAAAGCAATAGAAAAAATCTATGAATAAACGAATAAACTTTTATTATTTATGATAAACATATGTTTTAATTGTCGTGGACAAACTTTCAATGAGGGAGTTGGAACATTCCTTGTTGCTTTATTTCCGTGATGATTTAAATTCAATGTTTACCTATGATCATACAAGGTGACAGCGCAGCACGCAGGGTGAGAGGGGGGAGGGGTGGTAGGAAGTGAGTAACTCAGCCATTACCTTCTATAATCATCAGGTACCTACTTGTGATTTGATGTAGTGAAGACGCTACACACTTTAATTTGTAAGTCTATTGTTGCAACTTAGATATTTAGTGTTTAAATACGTTTTGATTTTTCAATAAAACTGTGAAATATTGCTTGGTATTGTAATTAGATATTTTGTTGGGTGGTTTGAAAATAATATGCAAAATTTAAGCAAGGAAAATATTACGTAAATGAAGGAGAATGATTTAATTTTTTCTCCTAGAAAATGGACTGGGTGTTTTTGGAATATTTTATACTTTTTAACTAGTTTGACTGTTTTAAGACTGATTTATTTTTTTACTAGGTAAAATGTTTTTTAATAAGTTTTGTCTTCTAACAATTTGTCTATACAGGGTGTCTACCTCTTACAGAAGTCAGTGGTCTTTGTAGAATGTTCTGAAAGCTGTATTTATTAATTAAAATAAATTTTGAAGTCTTAGATTTTATCATTTACAGTTAATTTATTATCCTAAAAAACTACAGATAATTATGGAAAAGTTATATTCATTTTTTATTAATTTGCCTATTAAAATAAAACAAAAATAAAACTATACTGTACATATTTTGTACACTACCATAATTTATTCATAGGGAATATGACAACCCATATGGGTAATCTATATAAATAAAATTAGAGTTTTGTCTGTACATTGCTTAGAATAATGAACTTTTTGGTTATTTTTACATTTCATAGGTCAGAGAAACCGAATCAAACCTTATCTCAATTTCTGTCTGTCTGTCTGTCTGTCTGTCTGTCTGTCTATCTGTCATTCTCTTGGTAACGCTAAAATACGCACTTTATTACAACTACTCCTCAATAACTATAGCACTGTCCCGCCTGAAACTTATTTTCCAAATACTATACATATATGAGATGGTTTTAGACGTATTTCATCGAATATGAGACAGTTAGATATTTAACAGTAAACCCTTGAAAATCAAGTTTTTGTCGATTTTTGACGTGGAATTTCTGGAAGCCCATGTTAACCTTATGAGAAATGAAATTATTGAATCTTAACAGCTGTTTCAATTAAACAAGTTGGTTCTGTTCTGTGATGTTCAATAGCATTAAAGTTACAAGGATTACCAACAGGGTGCAGCACTAGCACTATTATTTCTTTTACATTTATGACAACAGCTAATTTGCAACCTGGAGGCGAGTGAGCGTAGCGAACGAGCTAACCTGAAGGCAAGTGAGCGTAGCGAACGAGCTAACCTGAAGGAAAGTGAGCGCAGCGAACGAGCTCCAACATACAGGTGAGTGAGCGTAGCGAACGAACTTCAACCAGGACGTGATTGAGCCATGCAAACGAGATCAGATAGTAAAAATAAAAGTAAGCCTACCGTTATAGGATCGACCGGCAGACACAGAGGTAATTTAACCTTTTATTGATTGTCATACCGATCCGGAACAACAAAAAACAACATAAAATGAAGCTATGTATAATAGTTTGGCCAGCATATCTTAAAATATGCAAACCAACTGCTGTTCTTTATATAAGAAGGTTTCAACTGAATATTATAAGATCCCCGTGCGTAGAACGGGTACACAGCTAGTTCATTAGTAAAAATACAAGATTCTTCTAGAATGTAATAGGAATAATCCAAGTGTCATGTAAATTCTTGGATTGGAATTGCATTTATCTAGATTCGATTAATCATTTTAACTCTCATATAACAATTTGTACACATTGATATGGTATACTTTTCTGTTAAACAACATAGTTTGAGCAAAACCATTTATCTAAAGCCAGTACCTACTAAAGTTTAAAATCAAATTAAATTCCACATTATTATATCACTATTACAAAGCTATTACCATACTAGGACTTCAGTGTATAAATAAATTGTATAAACAATTGAACAAAACACTTTTTCAACTTATTGTTTCATTATGTGTACTTTATTTTTTTTCAACCATCTAATTAAAAAAATTCCAAAGTTTTGTGTATTTACATAGCCTACATTATATTTCATCAAACTCTGCAAAATAACTATTCAACAACAATTTATTAGATTATTTTTTTCACTTTTTAGCATTCCACAAACTTGTGTGTATAATTATTTCAATTTAAAAAAATTGGGTTTGGGTGGAGATAAAACTCTACATATTTTTATTGCAACTAGATGATTCTTTACCCAGGACCGTTCATAAACAATTTGAAAATCAATAGCCTTTGTATAAAACGAGTGAGTACTACAACTATCCGCAGTACTATCCTGATAATTAGACCTATTCGTATATACCAAGGAAAAATGTGGTTCGGATTCCACTATAAACTGTAGGTCCCTTAGTTGCCATTAGCTGTTTGGGCTATTAATTAACAGCTGTGTCTAACGAATATGTCGGCCTTAGTCACTAACAAGACTACAACATCGCGCCACACATCCTAC